TGAGTGATTTCCTTTAGTGGCTCTTGAACAATTACAATTTTAATAGAATAGTCTGCTTTTATGCCCTGGGTATTCCAATTATAGCCAACTAGCTCCAGAATTTCATACCAAGAAATTTTATGCAATCCATTTCAATGCAGAAGTTAACAGGCTAAAGTATTTTTTTAATGCTTTATTTTTCAATGGCATTGGTGGTGATTACATTTTTATTCCCTTCTTAGCGCTCTTACTGGTTTGGGGACCCAAACGAGAAAAGAACTGAAACAGAACAATTTTATGAGACAACCCAAAGCAAGTATTTTGAAGCTGAACCTACTGATTTGGAAATAGGTATCCAGATCCAACATTTGCACAAGGTATTGTTTACAGATCTCTTATTCTTGGTGGGACTGAAGTTTAGTTTATAATTCACTGTAAATGTTTGTTACTGAAAATGCCAAGGAAAAGATCAGATGCTATTAAAAGGATAATAGCCATCATGTCGCTTCCTTTGAGAAAAATGAAAATGAAATTTATAAAGTGCATAATAAAAAGTCACATCTTGAAGTATCACAAGAATGAAAAAACAAGCACCACGTCAAACATTTATGCATGAGAACCCTCTCTTTGTGGCCTTCCCAAGATTCATTTGTCAGGGTTTTAGGAAAAAAAAAAAAACCAAAGGTGACTCCATTTTGATTTGGACAACTTTGGCACTACGTTCTAATCGTCTCATTGAGAACTGCTTCCTGGGAACCCAAACCTGCAATAGTGCCCTGGCAGTAGCTGAGACCAGAATGAAGAGGATGAGCAAGACAGTTGAAAAACCCAGGACAAGAAATTCAAACAGACAGAAAAATAATTCAAAACCCTGAGATGGGAAGGAGCTTTGTATGTCGAAGAATGAAAAGAAAATAAAAGTTAAAGGAAGCAAAGACAAGGTTACATGAGATGAGTTTGGAGATACATCATAATATCAATCATGCAGGGGGCCGTGTAGGCTGTGGTAAAGCTTGAATTTTATATTTTAAGTTTTGATAATTATTATAGGCCTTTATGAAGGAGGGGGGCATGATCTGACTTAACATTTTGATTCAAGACTAGTGCCAGGCTGAATTTGGACAAGCATGACCACTCCGGACGTTTTGAGGAGTATGAATGGAAGAAAGAAGATGAATCACAGGCTTTTGTAGTAGCTCAGGTGAGATACGACGGCAGCGTGGACTAGCCTTGTGGCACTGGAAATAGAAGCAGAGATTTAAAATATATTTTGGAGTCACAGTTGAAGACTTACTTATAGGTTGGGTGTGTGATTGAGGAAAAAGGAAGAAACTAATGTGGCTTTCGGTTTTGTGGTTTGAGGAAATGGAGGTCAGTGAGAGAATTTATGGATATTGGAGATACCGGGGGGGAGGACGGAGGGTTTGCTTGGTTGGTTTATTGGTTGATTTTTAAATTTAGATTTGGGAAATTAAGAGCTTTATTCTGGATCTGGAAACTACATATTTATGCAAGTAGAGATTTCAAATAAGCAGTTACAAGCTTGATGCTTAGGTCTAGGGAGAAGAAAGTATAAAGACACCTGGAGAAAACACTTAAATCATTTGGGGTGAAAAAAAAATAACAATTTTTTTTGTCTGTTACACAAGATGTTTACCTTTTTTTCACCATCAGTAGGTTGTATTGGAAGGAAAATATGCTTTAATTCTGAATGACATGGGATTGAATCCCAACTCTTCCATTTAAATGTTGTGTTTCTTGAACTGTTTTCACCTCATTTTTATTAAAAATTTAGCCAGATTCTTCTTACTAGCTTATGTACTGCCTCTGTCTGCTCTAGGTAAGCAAATTCTCATGTACCATCTGTCCTTGAAAGTATCTCTCTCTTAAATTTCAGGTTAGTTGGTTGCCTGCAAACCTTACTTCTCTGATGGGCTCAAGAAAAGTTAAAATTTTGTAGATTATTCAGCTTCTACTGGTTGCTAGAGTTGGAGCGATGTTCTTTCCAGCTTTTCACATCTTAAGCAGAAGCACTGCTAGTCTACACATAAGAAATTAAAGATGAATATCCATGTGTAGGTTTTCAGTTGGAAGTTCTCCAGACTAGGACAAAGACGTTGACTGAAGACGACTGTGGCATTATAAGCTTCAAGATGGTACTCAAAACAGAGCAGGAATGAATGAGATTTCCCAGGGAATGTTTTAGATCTACTGCGAAATTCTAAGACTCATGTTATGCCTTCAGATTTTTTTTTTTCCTTTTTACCATTTCATTCCTTTTTTCCTCATGAGATTGATGATGTATTTTTTCTTCTATAAATGGTTGATACAAGTGCTTGTTCTTCCAACATGATCGTGATAAAGTTAATATTTGTGGGTTTTATCCCCACAGGCATTCCAACATCGCAAGACTACCAAAATAGCTGTAAAGGACTTGTCTTTGAATTTATATAAGGGACAGATCACTGTTCTTCTAGGACATAATGGGGCAGGAAAATCCACTACTCTGTCCATTCTCTCAGGTAGGTGTTCCACTCTGTTCAGAGGTTATCCTCACACACAAACTGGCAGATAAAGAATG